CAATTATTATTGATAAATGAAAAAGATGTAAATGTGTTTAAAGAATGAAAATAATTATATAACTATGTAGAAATTTTTGTAAATGCAGCATAATTATTTAATACTAGTTTTTGCCTGCGACTTCGTCCGCGTTAGTTTCGTCATCCCTACTAATATTATAAATGCGAAAGTAACTCTGTCTGTCTGTCTGTCTGTCTGTCTGCTACGCTTTCACGCCTAAACCACTGAACTGATTTTAATGAAATTCGGTACAGAGATAGAGTTGACCTTGAGAAAGAACATAGGATAGTTTTTATCCCAGACTTTTGAAAGGTTCTCTTGGAAACGCGATATAACCGAACTCCACGCGGCGAAGCTGCGGGCGGAAAGCTAGTTAGGAATATTTGTATAGCTGACCAGGCGAACTCTATTCCGTCTTAGAGGCCATAAATAATCAGGTTTTTCCTGTTTCAATCAAACAGAATGATTGACATATTAGTTAGTTGTCAAATCTAATGTCAAAAAAAGCGTTTGTATGGGAAATAGAAAAGGGCTGGTTTTAGGGTTTTCCCGGCAATTACTCCAATTTTTCTCACCTTTTATACCTTCCCTGAACCTCCACGAACATTTCAAGACTAAGATAAGACAAATCCGTTCAGCTGTTCTCGGCTTTTAGCGAGACTAAGGAACAGCAATCCATTTTTATATATATAGAAGATTAAGTTAAGAGGCGTAGAGAAATTTAAAACTTTTTAATATATAAGTGTTTAGATTATTACTTCATAATTAGCCTATAGTGTCTAGCTCATACTAAGTTTTTCTTCTTGAAATTATTAGAATAAAGTCTATAACTCTGTTCATTGATGTATCGTTGTAAATAAACAAGCTATATGTTCAATTTTATTTTATTTTTTGTATTATTAATAGCAATAAAATTGTAATAAAATTTTTAAAAAAGAAAATGATATTTATAACTTATTATTTTTATTACAAAAACAAAGTAAGCATTCCAAGAATTCTTGGAATTTTGTTCTGATAAATTTAAAATACATGTTGTAATAATTCATAAATCAACAAAAAGTTAAGAGGTCATGTACCCCATTTTTCACACAATCAGATAATGAATCACTACTTTAAATTGCAACTTTTACTACTAAGTTAAATTGCAACTTTTACTACATACGTTGCAAGTAAAATCAACTTTAAAAAATAACTGGAGATGTTCAAGCTATTATCATTACTTGTAATTAGTCTACTACTAGATGTGCATCTTCCACAGAGACTGAAGTTGATCTCTAGATTTTCTCCTCCAATAAATCCCTAAAAATTTACTTATATCGTTCCACCTTGCTACTGGGTGTCTTAAACTTCGTCTACTTGTTCACAATCTCCATTCTACAACCAATATACCCTAACATCCATTCCCTCTGTATCATATGCGACCTGTCAACTGCCACTTCAGCTTGCTAATCGGGCTATGTCTCTTGACTCAGCCCTCTAAAGAATAACTTCGTTAAAGATTCGATCCGTTGGAGAAATTCCGAGCATAGTTCTTCATAGATAACTGATATAATTATAAAATCTTAAAAAGTGAGTAGAATAATGAAGAGAAGAAATAAATAACATTGATTTATGTGTTTCCGATTATGAACTGCTATTTTGAAATATTATATAGACAATTGTCAAATTTATTCTTTAAGGAGGATGCTGTTTATAAAGATAAACTTTGTTTTAGCTACAAATCATTAAGTTTTAGAAAGAGAACAAGACGTTATGAAACACACTAATGAGCAAGAATACAACACGTATGTTCCATTATTAATTCAATTATATTTTAATGACAGTAGATGATTATTATTATAATAATCTACTTTTGAATATATATTTTGAACTGGCTAATACCGGCGACTTTGCCCGTGTGGTACTCTGTTTAAGGGATGATTAATCATAATTATATGCTTTCATTCGATTACTCGATGATCTCTTCATCAAAACCTTGACTAAGTGACTAAAGGACTGCGTCAATACAATTCTACCTGACAACAGAGATATGATGACAGTTAAGTATAAGTTAACTAAAATATCAATCGATTAAGTTACTAAAATAAATTTATTTCATAGACAAAAGTGCTGTATAAGCTTTAAGAATTGTCTGGTAGCCTTTTACAATGAATATATATGGATTTCAATATACACAGAAAAAATATACAAATTGATTTGATGAAAAGTGAACGAAAGAAGCCATAATTTTTTATTTAATTTGAAGTGATATTATTAAATGAGAAATTATTTAAGTATATTGTATGATAGACATAATTAAATTACACAAATAAGAAAAATATTTGACCATTAGAGCATTTCCAACAAATATACAGGGTGACTGGTGAATTACTATCGATACTTGAGGACGTGATATTTGACGATCATATATGACAAAATGAAAATTAATATAACATAAATATTAATAAACTTCTAAGTAAAGTTAACCAAAACTTATGTAATTAATTACGCATCGTGTGAACACCCTACAGATTAGGTATACACACACACACACGCGCGTGCGGCGGCGTGGTGTTGTATCAGCACGCCGCCGCCCGCGTCCACACTTGGAACACTTGGAACGTGTCCACACTTTATTTATTTATACGGAAATTTGGTCAAAAATTAAGTACCTATTTTTTTACATAATTCGAATGAGAATCATGTACCGAGTATTCTCCTTAAATATTGATAGTAATTCACCAGTCACCCTGTATAGAGACCGAAATTTTTCAACATGCAATTAATTATCAGATGATCTCCTTCGTTCATAGCCATAAGTTGATTTAAAAAAATGTAAACTATTTACGCCTTTATTTAATAAATTTTAGCACCTTATTTTTAGACGATAAATTATCTTTGATTGCATCCAAAATGTACAATACAACGTGTACAGAATTATTTCCAGAAAGATAATTCAATAACAGATGCGGGCGTCGCGATCCTAAAACACAATTGTGCAATGACGCATTTGGAATTTCGTGAAACGCACCCATTTACTATGCTATAATTAAAATATGAATATATATTATGAATATCCTCAAACATTGGGTCAACAATTAAAATGCATCATCTAAATATTTAACTAACAATAAGATGGTAAATACTTAAATAGAGGAAAAAATAAATTTAAATGTTCTTAAAAACTTGGCTTTACTTAAAGATCTATTATTTTAACTAGGTACATTTCAAACAAACGGCATAAAAGTTAAGAGTTTGTGATAAATTTCGTTATAAACGGATAGAAAGTCGTATTGTTTTTAAGTGAAATGTTGAACAATTATTTATTATGGCAATGGATTCAACTTATATTAGTTCTTTTATTATTTAGAGTTATATTTAAAATTAATATTAAGAATAAAATATTCGAATCTACTCTCAGAGGTAAATTTAGTTACATAACGATTTAAATCAGAAAGTTATGGCAGTTAAATATACATATGTAGCTTCAACCCCATTCCTAAAATCATATGTTTTGCTATACGTTCGTTTCGTTTCGTAAAATCATAAATTTCGTCCTGAGTTAGTTCTTCCAAAACGAACATCTTTCATAGAGCAAAAGAAAAAAATGGTTTCTATATCTTTTCAATATTTTGCTAGAATTTTAAAAAATAATATTCTCATAAAACAGATTGTCAAATTTTAATCATTAGTAATAATTTTATTATGTCCTTCAAAACAATGTAACACACACACATTCTAGAAAAAAAACTATTAGTTACATCAAATGTAAATAATAGCTAGCATTGAAACAATACAAGCTAATGTCAAAATAAATCCCATTATACAATTCAAGCATATCTGTCATTTAAAAATTTAAAGTCAATATTATTGTCTTATCTGTGGGTCAGATGTGGGTAATCGACTTATACTATTATATTTATTGCAAGTACCAAGTGCTGGATTGCTAACCCGCTTTTCTAGATTTATCCGCTTCCAAAGTCAACTCAAGCTCTTTTCAATCTGGCTATACTGACATGTTGAATTATTTACATATTCCATAACAAGTTGATATACGTATTTTATTTCTTTGTTCTGTTATGAATATTTTTCATAAGAAATATCATGAAGGAAAACACAGTTTACGTTTATTTTTGTTACAAGAGAAATGAGACTACTAAATCGAAATTTTACTGAGAAATGTATTATTAAAACATTATTAAAAGAAATTGAAAATAATATCTGTAAAATAATAACAGCTTTTTAATAACTTTTACCGAAGAAAAATTTGGTTCTTTCTTAATTTATCTGGAAAGAATAAAACTTATATTTTAAATATCTAAAAGCAAACTTCATTGAATCACTGTACCCGTAAACAAAAACGAAAGTAGAGACACTGAATTAAAACATCTTCCACTGTAGCACGAAGTAATTACATCAAACAGAACCTACACGGGTATTCGTTCCATTCCTGTGGAGTTTAAAAAACGCTTTGATTTCTGTAAACTCGTAAGCTATGGAGGAAATACAGCTACCTCTCTTTGAATTCTATTTTAGATATTTTTGTTGTTTTCACCAAATTAATGTTTTATTTCAGAAAGACTATTCAATTTTTTTTTATCTGCTTCATTATTGTCAAACACGATCTGACAGGTGTCATGAAGGTTACATTACTAGAGTGTCATTGTGTATCGGACTTACGATTTTTTTAAAACATATTTTACCGGTAAAACCTTTTTAAAACGTAAACTTTGACCTACTATATCTGTTTCGTGTGCCAGTGATTTTAAATAAACTAATTTAATCAAATATTTAAAAAATAAAACCGAAAAATACAAATTGCGCCTGCGACTTTTTAATACATATTTTATTTAAGTCGTATTTGCTATATTTAACCTTATGTGTATTGAACTAAACTATCGTTTTCATCACGATACTATCTGATAAGATATAACTGTTGATATTAAGAATAAAATATATAAGTGTAAGAGTGTGTACTGTGTAATAAATATAGTTTAGTGATAATATAAAATTATATAAAAATGGAAAAAGACTGCAGCACAAAGATTTCAATTACAGATTTTTCAAACAATTTACAGAAATCTATTCAAGTTGTTATAAATAATTTAGGTTATGTCGAATATGAGGCAGATGTCAAAAAAATATCCACAGACGGCAATAACTTTTTGGGTGAACTTTTTGAAATTGACGTCTTCGGAAGAACGAGCGATGGGATTGAAACTACGCACATTTTTCTAAAACGCATTATACGTAATGAAGATTTCAGAGTGTATTCCATTCCAGAGGTGTATAAAAAGGAGGCGTTCGTGTATAATGAATTGAGCAACATTTATAACGAGCTTCAAAATAAAGTCACTATACCCATGAATGAAAAATTTAAATTTATAAAAAACTACGGAACCAACGATGAAGCTATTATTCTTGAAAACGTTAGTAAACAAGGATTCAAAACCATGGAACGTATGGACATAATGACGAAAGATTTTGCCGAACTTTCGATAAAACAATTAGCAAAATTTCACGGGCTGTCGTTAGCATTGGAATGGTACGATCGTGATTATTTCAATGAAAAGGTGAAAACAATCAAACAATCCTTTATATACGATGATTATTGGAATGAATTTGTTAAAAGGATGTACGATCTATCTACTTCTAAATTGGAACTAAAAATTAAAAAGAGGACCGATGAATTCTTTTTGAATTCGTTACAGAAGTATCCAAAATACATGAACGGAATTAATTCGGACATAAAATGTTTATGTCACGGAGATTATAAGATGAATAATGTATTGTTTAGAGAAGCTGTAAGTATAAATTTAATGGTAATTTTATTTATAAATTAATGAATTGTCTACATTTGGTACTCGACCACAGTTGAGTGATTATTTCAAGATCTATAGTGTAAATAGTAATGTAATTATGCTTGACATTTGATGACACACACACCATTGAGAAATCCTGACGTATTGACGTACGTGTGTGTGTGTCAAATCCGTGATAGTATTTGTTAATACTATCTAAACATATGTTTATTTAAATAAATAATTTAATATACTTATTCATAAAAAATCTATGCATATTTTCGCAATATAAACTTTGAACCTTCACGTTCAAATGTTCTAGCCATTCTTAAAAAGACAGATAAAGTTTTTGCTCTACTTACATTATGATACTGAGAAACAGCTGATAGTGGAATGATGGAAAACCAATAAATACCACTTCAATTCTAACATATATTTGAAATCGTCTTACATCCATATATTATCACATCAAACTCAAGATTTAACTGTCTTCATCAGGATTCTAGCGTCGGCTGCTAATGAGCAGACTTGAAACTCGATAAGACCTCTCAATGTGTCTAGATTCTGACATATATATTTGTATATCTATAGCACATGTACTATATAATATATACGATATCATTTTCACAAGTTTAAAGCTATATTCATCATTATACATTTTAATTATAACATATAGGTAAATTCATTCACAGCGTTGGAATGTGTTTGTGTAATTCTAATACGTCTCGCAATTATGGCCCGCTTTAATGAGTCAACTTAGATGTATAGGGAGTAGTATATTCCATCAGGAGCTAATAAACATCATTAGGAACCACATTTCGTATTAAGCTAAGTGCTTGTAAAAATATATTTAGAGAATTGAATTGAAAACTATTTTATGAAACCCAGTCTCTAGAATTTCATATACGGTTCATGTATGTAGGAATGTATCGATATTTACAGTATACTGAGTATTTCAATTGCAATATTTTACCCAAATAAATGCGGTATAACCAAAAAGTAACGTCATAAAAGTCTCTTACTATATTTTATCTTTACTATATCAATTTTAAATTTATTTCTGTTTCTTCTGTATTGAGACGTAAAATTAAATTAAACCGAATTGATGTAATTTATCATTAAAATCATTAAAAATTTACAATATAATGCATATATACTATCATTATACAATAAGCAACTTCCAACATAATCATGTTATTTACAGATAACAACTTTAAGTGGTATTAATATTCTCCGTTTTAGTTATTGTATCATTCAATACAGTCCCAACGAAACCTAAAACCTTCCAAGAGATTAATCCTATTTAAATTCAACTAAAACGTAAAGCTCAATACGTATTCAGTTCGTCCATTCGTCGAACCAAACTAATTTAATCTAGCAACATGTGTACAAACTTTTAACGCATATTAACTTTTTAGGAAGGAAAAATAACAGAAGTTATTCCTATAGATTACCAACAGATCTACTACGGATGTCCAGTCATTGACCTCATATATTTTATCTATGCAGCCAGCGACAGGAGTTTCAGAAAACAACACTTAAATTATCTCAAAGATGTTTACTTTGGAAGTTTAACGATGTTTCTGAACTACTTCGGAATTGACGTCGCTACGGTTTACCCGAGGGAAGTATTTGAGAGCAGCTTCTCAAATAGCTTGGACTACGCCTTGATGTATACTTTGTATATGCTGCCGTTTTTTTACGTCAAGGAACAAGCCCCGGACCTCAGTCAGGACGAGCTGTTGGATGTGACCATAAGTGTGGATGATAAGTTTTATAATGTAATGAACGAGATCGTCGAAGAGTTTGTGGAATATGGAATAATATGAATAGAATATTTTTTGGTTCAATAAACAATATATCTCTAAAGTTGTATATTATTTTACTTCTGCCGTCCTTAAACAATATCGATTAATACTGCTGTCGTTTCAGTGCTTTATAATGCATATATATGTATATACAATTCTTCTATCTTCTACTGTTGGATATTTTCATTTTCACTGTGAGTTCATATCAACTCTTTTATTATAAAGTAATCAACAGTAATACAACTTACCTTTAATATTAACATATATGTCATACATTACAATTTGTCAGATAATTAATAATTCAAATGCCACAACTAATTCTCAAACAAATATTTAGTTGACTTATACTCAATTATTCTCTATCGGTATATTATAACGGTTTACTAGAGATGTCACATCTGACCGACAATTAGTGAAGGTCTTGAATATAACAATATTACCTAAACTAATGGTTATCTGCATTGGTGATATGTGAAGATTAAATTTTAGTTTTTATATAATAACGAAATTCAAGCTGTGGTGGAGTCTCGAGCCATATTGTGGATTATACTTTTATATTTTTATTCATTTTATACTTTTGAAAGTAATACAGAAGGAAAGAGAATCTTTTATACCATATTAATTCTAATACGAATGAGCTTTTAACCTTTTATTTAACGCCAAAGTGACAGTTAAAAAGATTCCTTATTTCTTAACTAAGACAGAAGTTAAATCGAAAACAAAAGTATTATACTATATAGATATGAAATAACATTATATAAGGATAATTTTATAGAGGCTTTTGATAAGAACATTGCCCCTTAAATCCGATTTCATCCATCAGATCGCAAGAAATTTATCATAGAATCAAATTGAAAACAAATCTTATCTTATACAAAGAAAATAAATTTTATTTCGTAACATATACAAACAGGAAAACTACATATTTAATGGAAAACTTGATAGTTTTGACATCGCTCGGAAATAATGGGTTGATAACAGTTTTAAACATACTGGCTAAGTTGTTTATCCACATTATAAAGTCTATTTCCCCAATCACAACACCCACTACAACTTCAACCCAATCACAATTAATTTACTTCAGTCTGTATAAAGTTTGCTCGTAATTTATCCAACGGTAATATAACTGTCACAGAAGTTTTTTGTTTTGTCGTTGGAACAGAAACTTATAATTCTTCTTAGTTCTTAAATTCTTCTTTCCTTCCGCTTCATTGGTATCACAAGATCTAATTATGATTGTGACTTTAATGTAATAGACTTCTAATGTAAGCACAGTGGATATACTATTTGTACCTTAAAAATCGTTCCGCATTTAACTCACGCTATTTTTTGTTTTATTTGTTTTTTATTATAAACTCTCCAATTTTCCAGTGACTTGGCACTTGAGTATTAACTATACATTATTTGTAACTTGTTATGTTTCATTCTCTCTGGTATTGCGAGTCAGAATTGAGGTATAACCCAAGAGTATTAATTTTGTTTATTAGAAATTCTCAAAATATATTTACCTACATATGATACATGTACCATTAAATGCGTAATATTTAAAGTGTCTGTATAAATTGACAGTATTTTAAGCTCGTGTAATAACGTAAAGTATATTACGTATAAGGTGTGCTTACTCTCGCAAAATGTAAAATTCGTTGATGATATAACTGCATTGTGCAACAGAATACACTAGGAAGATATGAGGTTTCGTGATTGCATAGCATTAACCTACAAGTTGTACGTGCTGACTACTCGTTCCAATGATTTCCTTTACAACAAACTTTCTTTAATTATGTAAATTTGAAGCACTGCTTCTGAAACTCTACCCTGAAGTTATATAAACATGTTTTTTTCGAAAAAACACATCATTTGATAGTCATTACCAATATGTGTCTTTGTATCAAATTTTGTATTATCGGCTGTAAAAAATTTCTTCTGCAACTTGAAGTTGAGATCAAGTTTAGTTTCATTCGATTGTCTTTTGTTATGGAGCCAATATTTGTTGTATTTACAAATAATTGTTGAGATTAATATTTATACTGACTTAAGCCACAAAGAGTTATTCTAATTGCTCTAAACCACATTGCACAAATCACCTTTTTTCGTATTTGCATTCCGAATTTTTAAATAAAGAATAGGTACTTTAAACTAAAATTAAGTCTAAGTTAAAAAACAATGTTTCTTCACAAAGAACAAATTTAAAATTACCTCATCATATACGGAAAGTGCCAGAGAGTAAATTTTATTTTAATAATATATAAAATGTATACTGATAAGACTATAAAGGAGACCCTTTAGATCTTATTAATAATTGTAGAATGACCCATAAAACAAAATCATTTTTAATCACTTTATCCTCATTTATTTGTTACTTAAACAAGACATATAACAGACATATACACTTGAACAAAGATTTCTAAATATACAAAAAATGTATATAAATTTATTAAGCTAATAATAATTATAAACACAAGCTGCGTACATGTTCCTATGCATTAAATAATGGAAGCCAACTCGATGACATAATCTAATGCATATCCAACTAACTCATTTAAGTTCGTCAAACTTGATTCGTAACCAACTGAACTTTAATAAATAACTAAAACGTTCCAAAATATCATTCCAAAATATATTTAATAATAACCGACTGTATTTAACAAATAGATATTATTCAATAAAGGAATGAGTAAATAAAGAATTAAATTAAATGTAAATGAAATTTCCATTTAAATGTATATCAATTTAATGAATGCAAGTTCCCGATGATTAAATAAAAATTCTCATACAATTTACTGAAAAGCAGCTTTTAGAAACATTTAAGCGTCTTAATTGCCTGTGACGAAAGAAGAAATCTCAATGTCTGCTTCGTATATTTTTCAATATTTAATTTATGTCATATATTTGAAATGTATCCCTAAATAAAGTTTATTAAATTTTCAATTCAAGATGAAATATTGTAACGAGTCCATCGGGATTAACTAAATTGGTAATATGTTATCTGTAATTAATGTTTGTGCATTTGTTATAATTTTAAACTCAAACTCATTTATTGTTGCAAAGAGATAGAAACTCTATATAATAGTATTCTTTACTTAAGACTACACGGAATCATAGTCAATATACTTAATAAAACTTTCAATGCATTACTTATGTGTGTAATAAAGAAACATTTTCAACGATAAACCATAGCATATTTCAATAATATTGTTTATGAACAATAGCCAATAAAATATGAAGATGGTAATCAAAGTAATTTAGATTATACCTACAACGTAGATTGTAATTCTGACTGAAGGACACAAGGAAGCTCTGTTTATTGAACTTTCTGTAGGATTATCCAGGATTTGTTTGAAAGCCTGACCGACGTTCAATCTTGGAAAATTAATCAATTCATACACAATAGTTAACTAGTTACGCTAACACTTTAAACTGTCACAACAACCGAAGCAATTCCTAATAGATTTTAAACCATCATTAATTAACTTTAGTATTAAAATTTCTATTTTGTACCAAACAAAATATAGTGATTTATATTAATGGATCTTTATTCTGTTGTTTGCAAAAATTAATCTGTCATAATTTCATATACAGGCTTCCGTTAATTATCCATACGAGGTTACCAGTGTCAATCCCATTTAAAGAGAGTTCACTAGTTCAAGAAGCCCCTCGCGTAGATATTCAACTGTTTTTTTACCACAAAATTATGTTCCATGAAAAGGTTAATGAAGTGTGTGATTAAAGCTTTGTGTATGAAAAATATAATAACATTCACCATAGCCAAGTCACGGTTGTTACAGCATTAATTCACCCAATATTTGCGCAAAGATCCTTTTAATATGAGAACAGAAAACCCCAAATAAAATGAATAAGGAAATTTAGTCAAATATTACGTAAAACATAATAGCGTGCAATAATTGCGGCTGTTAGGTAGAATTATCCGGGCGTCGTACACTCGACATTTTTACCCCAATATTTGTTTGACACAACGCCATAAGATTGCTCTGAGCGTCGAGACACAAAACTGCTGCGAGATAGCCTTGGTTTATGGTTATATTTTATAGAATTATATTACTCTATATAGAATTATATGTATAACTCTATATAGAATTATAGAGTTATATTTTATAGAATTTGAGTGAGAGAGACTACACATTGACGTAGGATGATAAAAGTTTAAGTTTTAAATATATTTTTCATTGCTTTTTTTGTTATTAATGGTTATTCTAACATTAAAATCTATTCAGTTGAAGGCAGTCGACTTTGAGGCCTTACTACGAGTATGTCTCTTAATTTACACTCCGACAGTAAAGTTTCATTTCCAAATTTGGAATATCTTATCGTATATCGTTCATTTAAAAGCAAATTGTTATTTTAATATTATATCACCTTAACTTAATGAAGTTTGAACAACTCTATAATTTTTTAACGCCCACTCTTTTAGAAATAATATCGAAAAAATTTAAAATACTCTCAAATAAAATTTTCATGGAATTCAAAACTGTTTTGTTATAAAATTTTGATACTTAAATAACTGTTATTTTGCTCGTAAATTGAATATTGTTAAAAAAATATCGTATATAAAAGATGGTTTATACTTTTTATAATATTTTTCATCGGAATAAATTTAGCTGGTACCAAACTGGACTTAAAGAGTTCAGGTTCAACCCATTCGTATCAGGTCGATATCAAATAACTTATCGGGAAAAATTAATACAAGAATATCTGAAATGAAATTCAAAACCTGGTCACAACAACCCCAATTAAGGCAACGTAGTGAGCTACAAAATTTTTTCTCTGAAATATTGTTTTACATTTTAAAATAACCAATTATAAGAAAATATAATGCTTGTTACGTTAGTCGAATGAAATTTAACTAGTTTATGTGACGCTTCGACCCATGAAAAATAAGTCCGTTTAATTTATAATTTTATTACCATAAAACAAAACAGGTTCATAAAACAAATTTTTGGTACGAATATTTGAAATATATAAAGTTTCCATTGATTGTTTTAATATGCGAATAAAACATAATA